ATTGTAAAATTTGGTCTTTTCTTTTATTAAGAATGTAAAATTTTGCTTTAAAGAATAGGGGAATTTTTTGTATACGCTGTCAGTTGTAGTTCTTAGAAAGAAAACCTGATTCAGCAAAATCAGATCTTACTTGGAAAAGCTCCTACTTAGAAAAAAATCGGAATTGGCCTAGAAAATTGCAATCAGTGCAATTTTCTAGGCCAATTCCCTGTAAAGATTCCACTCTGCCAAATCATTACAGTGATGTTTATAGGGTTACGTTAAGTACAACATGGATGAGTTTTCTGTAGTCAAAGACACAATGAGAAATTCAGATTTAAAATATATAGAGAGAATATTTAAAGTTAAAAAAGAAAAACAGGAAACTGATTTCTGTTTCTCTCTTTTTTTGAGGCTGGATAAATAAATGTGAATGTTAAAATAAAAGCAACCTTTTGAATACAGAGAATTGCAGCCTTGCTTCACATGTTTTGTTTTGTTTTTTCATAGTCAATAAAGCACCCTCCTCTTTAATGGTGTACCATCAGAAATACTCTGAAGTGTTTCCTCTTGTGTGCCACTGATACATTTTGACCTGCAAATGTATCGCACATATGGTATCTCGCTCTGTGTCCAACTTATTGACATACATTCACATTGGTATACTACAGATATACTAGTAGATTTTGTTATAAGACGGAGGACTTGCAGTTTACAAGCCATTAAATTTTCCATATAAAATCAGAGCATACTGAATTGATTTCCTTCATAAAAACGCTCATAAACTTGAACGCTAACTCACAAGAATTGACTGTTTTTAAGCTGTTTCAGGGCGTTTTTGATGTTGGAAATAGAACCACGAAACTGCTTCTGACACTGTAAAGCATATAGCCTATGCTATATGTTAATATATTTTTTGTCAAACAGGAGCATGTTCTTACAAACTTGGGTGTGAGAGTGCAAAGACCCAGACAAACTCTGACTGGTTTGGCCTTTTCCCTTCCAAATCCTGGGGTGTGGTGTCAAGATAAGTGTTATGCAACAATACCTCACTGCATGAACTCAGGCTTCGCTTTTTTTATACAGGAAGCCCAAGTCTGAGTCAGTTACAAACATTTCTGCCAACTTGGCTTCAGCCACTCACGAGCATGCTACACAACCAACTGATTCCCACCTATAGGTTTTTTGGCTGAAGGAGTGACTTCAGTTGACTTAAAGGTTTTTTTTTAAAAGGTACTTCTCTTCGTTAAAGCGGACAGGTCACAGTCTTTATTTTATTTTATTTTATTTTATTTTATTTTATTAAACAATGTATATTTATTAATATATGGTGGTGGTCAGAGGGTCCGGTGGCGCCAGTGTTCGGCAGCCTCGCCTCTGTCAGTGCGCTCCAGGGTGGCTGTAGCTACAATGTAGCTTGCCATCACCAGTGTGTGAATGTGTGTGTGAATGGGTGGATGACTGAATGTGTATAGCGCTTTGGGGTCCTTAGGGACTAGTAAAGCGCTATACAAATATAGGCCATTTACCATTACCATTAAGAGTTTTTGAAAAAGAGATATATGTATATATGTATAAATGTATATATAAAGACACATAATTAAAAAAAGTCCTGCCAGCTCATAAACATGCTGTGATAAGTGAAAACAAAAAAAACATAAAACAAAAACATTATTGCACTCATGTCTCCATATTTGCCACAAAAGAAAAGGATGGCTGCCAGGTTGCAAAGAAAAATTCATTTGAGTCTTTGTTAAAACAACAGACCTTTTCTAGTTATAAGTAGCAGATGACAAACTTAATTCCAGTTGAGGAGTCCTTCTGTTTTGCACAGACCTTCTGGCCAAAAGTGAGCAAAAAGGTAATGATGTCAGCTTGGGCCATACTTAAATTTACATCTTGGGGAGTTACTCCAAATATTGCCATAATAATACATCATGCAACACTCTGTCCAGATTTTTTTTTAAACAGAGCACCACAAGGCTGTTTAAAATGATCACATGCAGGGTTCAGATCACTGTTGATTGTACCTAATCTGACTTTAAACCAGTTTGTAGATGTTTTTCATTCGAATAACAATCTAATTAGAAATTCAGATTTGTGAGACTCCTTTGCACTTCTCTTGTTTTCAGGTATTTACCTTTCACCTTTGAACCTCTGTGCTGGGAACATGAAGTAAATAAACAAGCACATTCTCCCACGGCAACATCAGTAAACAGTAAAATCCCAGTTGTGCGTTCATGAATCAGAATTAATACTTATGATCCATTTTGTTAATATATAGTTTCATTTTAATAAATCTGTTGTTTTGTTAGGTTAATGTTTGCTTTTACCTAAGCAGAGCATTTATTTTTATCGGCATTGTTTGCACAACCTGCAGTATCCAAACAGTTTATTGTCATAATAAACACTGGAAGAATTAACCTCTCATGTACAAAGTTCATTAAAAAAATATTTATTTATTTATTAAACTAAATGTAATTCAGTTAAATCTTACAGACCCTAAAATGATGAGAGTGTGTGCTTCTATGTTCTTTTATTATTATTTATTTTATTATTTATTATTTATTTTTCTTTTATGTTCAAGTTCTACTTTTTCTTAGCATTGACAAAAAAAAGGGGGGAAACAATTAAAAACCTGGTTAAACCAGTCACCAAGCTGTTACATCTGCAACAGCAGTCTCTCACTGTCCTGATTGAGTGAGCACATATAGTTCCCAGTGGGGTTAGCCATTCTGGACCGCAGCATGTGGGACAGATTGGGCTGCACCTTTGATTAGCCTCTATAGTCTCAGGACCAGGACACTGACGCATATCCCACAGCTCTGAGTCTCACTGCAGTCACATTAATGTGCGCTGTGGCTCGAAAGATTTCAGAAGGAAAGCCTATAAGGTCAACGTGACGTAGCAGGAATGTTCAAAAAGGGAATTATTAATCACAATCAAGGTAAAATATAGTCACATTAGGTCAAGTCAGTCATTTCTCTGGATTCTTATAAAAGAATAGATTGATGATATTGACATTTTTTACTTTATCTATAAACAATGTTTCTTCTAAACACACACATGAATGAATATAATGTGTGTATCTGTCACCAGTGAAGTTGCTACAGCACTATTAGTTGATTCCTTTAAGCTACAGAATGTGGCACATGCATTGGGCTTGCGCCGCAGTTTTGACCCGTCGTTGTCATTTAGGTCTTACAAATGCCCACTTTTCCCCACTTGTGTAGCCCTAGAAATTTTAATTAACACCATTTTATTAGCCATTGCAAAGCTCTTATCACTGCTGTTCTTGCCCCATGGAAATAGAACATTTGACTATTTTGTTCATGTGCACACATATGATTGCTAAACAATTTTCAGACTCCTTTCACACAAAACTTGTATTCATAAATTTATACAGCATCCTTGTTTTTCATCTTTTGTAATGTCACCAATCACAGTGCCTTCTTTGTGTTTCAAATAGGACAAAGTTGTAGGGGTTATTTGCAGCGCTCCCATTTAGCTCCTCTCCGTGTGTCTTTCTGTCCTCCGCAGCTCTCTCCGTCCCACCCCAACCCCTCTTTAACTTTTCCTGATTTATTAAGCTGTATTCTGCCGATGTGCGTCAGAGCTGGCCAGGAGTCTCGTGAGGCGTTCCGCTCCTGAGGAGCTGTGTCTCGTGTCTGGACAGCATCAGACTGTAGCGTCCTCCACCCCCCCAAACTTACCCCCACCTCTGTTTGCCTTATTTGCCTGTAACCAAAAGCCTGCTCTATCTATACACACACACACACACACACTCTGGGCAGATGATCGTAACTGAACATCAAATGATTTGTTCTGCAGGGATAGATCAAAGGTCGTGGATAGCTCAGAGTCTGAATCAGGAGCACTATGATCCTAAAATTAAATTAAAAGTGAAAGATATTCTTTAACCACAACCTTTTATGGGCTCATAACAGGTTACCTGCAGCTGAAGCAGAATTTAGTCTTTCTATCTCTGCATCTGGTTTTACTTTGTCATCTGGCACAACACTCACCCCCCACCCCCTCCAACCCACACACACACACACACACCCGGCTTACTGTTGTGTTGTCTACAGGGATCTGTAGCGATTCACAACACTGATATTCATGCAGCTTTCCTGACTGACACCCCACTTACTAATGTTTTCATGCCACATGTGTGTGTGTTTGTGCATCTACAGAGGGAGTCTACACAGATGCTCCTGATAACCAGACATTTTGTGAGAAAGCGTTATAAAAACTTTCAGGGCTGTCAACACTCTTCTCTCTACTATTATCTGAAAACGTATAGTTATAGTTTACCATGCCATAAAATGTAAATTCACCTCTGTTTGTCTTTTGTAAGAATGCATTTCTTCTCATTATGAGATGACACTTCACGTCTAAATGTATACAGTTAGAAGTCTTTGTTTTAGACATACACTCCATTTGTTTGAGTGACCTAAACATGATGGCGTCCTAGTGCATCATGACTGCTTCACAGACGCCAGTGGGGGTATTAAAAACAACTTTCCCTCAACGATGGTCTGGCAAATGGCTTTTTTCCCTGACAACAAAGACAGTAAACAGCAGCACTTAGCAAGCTCTCAAGATCCTAATTGCCTATTAAGCACAATCGAGTCCTCCTTTATCCTGTTGCCTCTGTTGGGGGCTCCTATCCCTGGAGATACAGATTTACAGTAAACATAAGTGAGCTAGCCCGGCTATCAAAGAGCTTTAACTCGAGCCTCGGCTCGGCTGCCACCGCTCTCACCTCACCGTGAAGAGAATGAAGTGACCTTCAGCTGTTTTCATCCTTTGCATTTGTTTGGGTGACCTTCGGGATCATTGTGGGTTCAAGTGAGATGTTATTTCATTCCTCTCACGTGCTACACTTCTCCTTTCTAGCATCAATGATTCTGTTCATTATCTCACATCAGTATTGTTTTGGTGTTTTTGTTGTTGTTTTTTCTCACAGTTTCATTAGTCTTAAATAAAGTTTTTTAAAGTGTTTTGTTTTTGTGTTTCAGGCTTGACAGATGAGAAAGTGAAGGCCTACCTCTCGCTGCACCCGCAGATTCTGGATGACTTTGTGTTGGAGAGTGTGAGTGCAGAGACGTTGGACAGATGGCTGAAGAGGAAAACCAGCAGCAGGCCTGCAGGTATACCCCCCTACCACACACATATACAGAAAAAAAAAACCTACAGAGTCAGCTGCATCTCTCTGGATCACTAAGACAAAATGCTTGGATTTAAGAATTGCAGTTTTTGTAAGTCTGGGGAACAACAGTGCATTTTCAGGCTCTGTTTATTATCCTGGCCATTAGCAGTGCATATCACTCATCATCACATGTGTCTCCTTTAATCTTCCATGTTTGTGATACACAAAAGAAAAGGAGAAGGAATGGACCTGTCCGGTTTTTACGGGTCATTAGATGTGTTTGAGCCGGCTGGGCTGAGTTTGTGCCGTGCACTCTACTCACAGCGAACTGTTTCTCAGACCGACTGCATCCATCAAGGGCCCACAGAGTTGGCACAGTGCCCAGTTGAGCTGCTGACGTCAGAGGCGACCTCCAGAGACATGCAGCCGGCTGAAGGGGGCCCAAGGGAGGGGTGTGGATGTTGGTGGTAGCGCTGGTGGTGCTTGGGGGGGGGCTGTGCTGGCTCAGGGTGTGGGTGTGTTGAAGGAGGAAGCTGGCAGAGGATAGATTTGTCACATTTTGGAGCTGCTTTCCACGCGAGGAATGCAGACAGTAGTGTTTGTTGCTGCCGTGCAGAGTTGTTAATTTCTCAAGTCTGAGCCAGTGTTTGAAACAATTTCCTGTATGTTGTATATATACAGTATGTGTGTGTTTAGCTTGACAAATATCAAATAGAGGCTGTCATGCTAATAACTCTTCCTGGCGCCAAGTAGGAATAACTAATTTCATCCAGATAGTTCAGTTCAGGGCAGATGGAACCTGTGTAAACCAGATCGTTGATTCACAAAACTAAATAAAAGAAAGGCTTTTTAACTGAAATCTTCTTTGTTTCAATGTTCACAGTTCAGTCAGGACCACTTTAGCCATCTGCAGTAATTTATATTTGGCTTTTTGGCTTTATTGTGGGACCTTCCCACAAGGTCCCACAATAAATATGTGAAATATGTGAAAACCAGAGTCATGACATAAAAAAGAGAAGCTGGGGCAGGTTGCGAAGCGGCTTGCAGATGAGCAGCAGATGTAGGCAGACTAAAGCCACATAAACGGTCCCCTTTAAGATTTAACAGTTGGATGTATAAAAGGCAGAGATGTACCGACTGCAGTTTTCTTGGCTGATTCCCATTTACGATTATTTTCTAAGCATGGTCTGCTGATTCAGATTTTTTTAAGAACTTTAACTGACAGCAAATTCAAAAAACTTTCATAATAAAATAAATTATTAAATGCTCCATTTTTGTCCAAACTGTGGTAAATTACAGGATCTTCTCACATTAAATCAGCTAAAAATTAATTGCTCTGTCACTGGAAAGGGGTACAAGAGCTACCTGACATACTTTACTTAATCAAACAAAAAGCAGGTGCAACAGATTTATATAACAAAACAAATGTCAAGTACTTACATAATTTTTTTAGTATGCTTACAACTTCAGTCCCGTTACAGATAACAAGATTTTGATATTTTTCTCATAACTGTTTCAATCCTTTGCTCATACCAAGGCTGCTGCCTTGTGGCTAGCTTTGAGCTCCGGATAGCTTTAGCCGTTTTAACTTTTTGTTAGCTTCTTATGTTTTCATCGTCATCCCTCCACCGTTTAGCTTGGGGGACTGTCTTCACCCACAGTGAAATGCTTCCACGCTAAGGACATATCAGTCTCGACAGCTGTGTGTGTGTTGCACACAGGCATGAGATGGACCGATTCATAATCTGACATATGGTACGCTAACCACCCAAGGCCAAGAACACTGGAATTTGGGTAATTCTGGTGCCAGGCAAATCGATATGTGTATCTGTTGTCAAGGGTTCAGCAGATCTTCTGGGATGGAAGCTGATATTAATTTAGTGGCCTAACTAAACTAACATTATGCTTAATTGACAACTCCAGTTGTTCTAATTTAAAGAACAACACAAACAGTTTTGTTTACTACAGATTGCGTATACTTAATATGACTACTTCATCTTTGTGCACTTAAGATGTCAAGGATGTCGTACTACTTCCCTTTTATTCAGCCACTCTCTACAGTTTATTTCAGTAGAGTAGGGAAATCGATTTGCAACTACTTGAAACTCACTTGAGCCAGGTAGGGTTATCACTGTGTGGAAACTGATTGATTTGAAAATGCTACGATCCATTACCACATGGCCGTATCAGAGATTTGGCCATAAAAAAGCATACTTGATGTTCATTATGATGAATTACATGTTTCAAGCAAGTTTCAAATTTCAAATTTGATTATGCTGCCGTCTAGAAATTCATACTGACTGCTTTCTTTTTAAAGTGCTTTGAAAAGTAATGTTATCAGTAATGCAAACGATGTTAGTGTGCAGCTAAAGACCCTGGTAAAGCAGCTTTTGGATGGAGAGACATAGCTGAGGACCAGGAACAATACAGCAACACAAAATTATTGGTATAAAAGTAAATAACAGATTTAGAATATCCATCCATCCACTCTTTTCCGCTTATCCTTATCAGGGTCACTGGAGACGGTGGAGGGCTGGAGCCTATCCCAGCCACCATTGGGCAAGAGGCGGGGTACACCCTGCATAAGGTCACCAATCTGATACAGGGCTAACACAGAGAGACAGACAACCATTCACACTTACATTTACACTTTCCCATTCTCACTTCTATGGCCAATTTAGAATCACCAATTAACCTAACCCAACTAACTGCATGTCTTTGTGGGAGGAAGCAGGAGTACCTGGAAAGAACCCACATAAACACAGGGAGAACATTGAATATATTTATATTAATCATGTTGAAACATATTTTAAATTAATAATTTATTATTTAAATGCATAATGAAACTATTCTGCAAGTACATCTGCTCTCACTGAGTGGCCAGTGGAATGGCCATATTATTTGCAGTCTAAATCAAGTTAACATATAGTGGGTATGTTTTTGTTCTATTAATTTTTGCATTTTTTTTCAAAAAGTAGAAAGTAAAAAGAGAACAGAAAATAAGCAGAAAGGGAGCATGGGATCACCAATCCATATTGGCCGCTTTTCTTTGATTTTTTTTAAGCTGTTTCTTTTTTGTTCTTAGCTAATATTGTTGTACGTTAAAGGCACACTCAGTCTTTTTTTAGTTTATTCATTGGGGAAAAAAAGAATGTAGCTTTTTGATAGAGAAACATAGTTGAGAACCAGGAACAATACAGTATCAAAAAGTTATTGTAGCACTATACACAAATGCATGGTAATAAAGATACAAATATCTGTGTACATAAGCTTACATAAACTTAGAGTTAATACATTAAAAATACATATTAGGAGGTATCAATTTGTTCTAAGTCACCATGTTTACCTGCAATCTTGAATACAGTGGCTGAGATTGGAGTTGCAGTTCTGCCTAATTATGTTTTATATAAGTAGCTAGAGACACATATGTAGCATGCCAAAGGTGGAGAAGTAGAGAAGTCGTAGGTCTTTGTGTGCCATCTCCTGATGTAACCCTCAAAAATACATAAACATGCTTATTTATCCCTTTTTGTCACAATTGCTTAGTGTCAGTAGATTAGACAAACGACCCTCTTGTCCCCAGACAGCTGACAACGAGCTAACTTAATTGTTGCTACCCAAGCCGTACCGGAAACCCGATCGGTACCCCGCATGCGCAAATCTTACGTCACTTCCTCTCTTTGCCAACATTGCGACATTCAATATATTTGAATGATACTGGCTGTATCCCAATTCAGGGTCTGCAGCCTCAAAGTACGCAGCCTCAACGATCCTCAAGGGCCGCGTACTTAAAGACCGCTAAGGCCGGAAGTGCGAGGCTTGTGAAATGGGACGGTCTAGCCTCCGTTGCGTTGCCCAGGTTGTCTAGCAACCATGATACTAACAGCTGGAAACGTTTCATACAGCTTTGTTTGACAGAAATGAAGGAGAAAATCTTTTGTTCATTTGTTTGTTTGTTTCAACATGAGCTTTGATCATTTTCTAATTAAGGTCTGCTATTGAACGGCGTATATTTTAAAGTAAAGGCTTTAAAACCAAGTTAGTACAAACATCACTAATGTCACATAACTTTGCCGACATGTGGCCAACAGTAATGTTTTAATGCTCTTCGTTATTAAAAATTTGCACATAAATAAGTGACATAATATTCAGTACTTACTTAAAGTTTACTCTTCGGGCGCCCCTCATCCGTCGTTTTTTTCCGGCAAAATTATCCACACCCACTGCCGCGCTATGCATTCTGGGATATGTTGGGCCATGAAGTATACAGTGCCACGTCCTTAAAATTCAGGGAAATGAAGGATGCATTTGAGGGCCGCATTTCGAGCAGCCTTCGAATTGGGACAGCCTTCGTCGCATCGCTGTGACGTAATCAGCCTTAAAATGCGGCCTTTAAGGCTGCAGACCCTGAATTGGGATACAGCCACAGTTAGCGCCCGGTTAGCTCCTAGCATTTCTCAACAGCTCTGCCTCCTTTTTGACTACTGGGACATTTGAACAATGGATAATCCGTATACAAACAAATTCATGCTTTTCTCCTCAACAGAGAGCGTTCCCCGATTGAACAACAGCGCTGTAAAATAAGAAGAATGGCGCCTAATACAGACTTTGTAATATGTCACGTGAAGATTCATCAGCCAGATGAAGTGTTTACTGACAATTGACATGGCATAGCGGACATCATCATCATCACTATTCTAATCAATCCTCTCCACACAGACAAGCATAAACACACTCGACTATCACTAAATCAAATTTAACACACGTTTGTAATGACGCTAATTCAGTTTACAATAGGGTTCATTTGCTCAGTCAGCAGGTGGCAGTATCCTCGTACACTGGGGAGTAAACTGCCATTAAACAAACAGAAGAAGAAGAAAACCCCTGCACATGCGTGGTATGGATCGGGTAGACTTTGCACATGCGCAGTAAGGATCGAGGAGTCCTGATCTGTAACTATCTTTTTATTTTTCGTTTTTGTCTACATTATATTAAATGTTT